AGCTCAGAGTCATGGGTCGGTGCCCATCTGAAGTTCTCTCAACATCCTATTTACTCAAACACACAAGGACATAGAGGAGATAAGGTAAAGTCAGAGAAACTTGCATGCTCAGGGAAGGATATGGAAGTATGGTAGTCCAGCTGAATGTCTGCATTTGCCTTCCTCCCATCCTGTTTGCACTACAGCTCTGAGGAATTAAAACTCTCAGCAAGGACCTCACCATGGTTGTTACTATCTGTAAGAAAGCAGCCTGGAGTCAGTTGGGAAGTAACTAAGGACGTGGCAAAATCCATGGAAGGAGATCTCTTAGACCAAAGTAATGCAAGAGAGATAACTCTGGATTCTGTAAGACAAACCTACTATTCTCTTACCCATGAACTTCACTTCCACACCTCATTTTGAGACACCAGTTGGCTACAACAGGACACAAGCAAAATGATTTGCTTTAAAATAATAAGTTTTATTCCACACCTATTAATTGGAAGTGTTCATAAAGAAGAAACTAGAAGCACTGTTTTGTGCTCTTTTGTGGTTGCAGACAAAACATTAAAATGATAAAAATACAAATAAAAAAGTAATGCATTTGAAACACACACACAAAGCACTCTTAGGGCATTCAGGTTGCATGCATAAAGCCCTAAAGGCATGATGGTAAATAAAACTAGGAACCATGCAGTTTGATTGCAAGATTTTGCAAAAGAGACCTCTGAAGCAGTCTTTGAGGCAAAAAAATATATGTAACATTTGGATTTTCAGCCTGAGGAGTAAGTCCAAAATCAATCACAAGCATGTTGTGCTTTACTTTCAGGTCACACCTAGAGGACACCACAGCTCAGGAAAGACTTGGAAAAGTATGGAGACTTTTTGGGGGATCTGATGAGAAAAGAAAAGTGATCCAAGCAACTACAGGCTCTTTTATCTGACCTTATTAGTACACAAAGCTTTAGAACAAATGTTGAATGAAAAACTAATTAAAGATGTGGAGGTAAATGCAAAACTTGTTAAAATGCAACAGGACTTCATCAAGGAAAGAATATACCAGACTAAGCCCATCTCTTTCTCTGATAAATCAGTTTTTCAAACAATGAAAATAGCATAGATCAAATCTATCTGGACTTCAATAAAACATTTGAGAGGATGCCATGCGAGAAAATATTAATTAAGATGAAGAGATGTGGATGAATGTAAGAAATGAAAAGTAAGGACAATAGCGTGAGCTGAAAAGGAAGCTCTAGATGGAAGGATGTTACTAATGCAGCTCCATAGGGGCTGATCTCAGAACTAATCTTAGTTAAAATTTTATTAGTGACCTTGGCACAAAAACCGATGAAAGCTAATGAAATTTGCTGATGACATGAAGCCAAGACCTGCTGTTACAACAGAGAAGACTGGAATACCCTGTGGAAAGAATTCTAGGAATCTGCGGACAGCAGAAAGAAATGACATGAAATTTAATGGCAGAAATACAAAGTTGTGCATTTAGCACATAGTTCATATTAATTCTAATCACGTGGGCTGATTAGGAAGCTTCTCCAGGCAGACTGAAGAGAGAAAAGAAACTCAGAGGCAGATATGAGTTCACAGTGAGCTGCTTTTTGTTTGGAAATGTGGCATAAAGGACACACAGTGCAGCTGGAGCCGTTGGGGCAGCTGTTCTGGCTGTACCCAGCCTCTCCTCTCCAGTGGCAGCAAGGAAGGGAAGTCTGGCAGCATTTTCCTGCAATCACGGAAGCATCCGGCAATTTGTGACTCAGTGAATTGGTGTCTTGGTGCCTCTTTTTTGTGTCTTTTTTTTTTTTTTTTCCTTTGATTTATCTCAGCTGACTTCCCAAATACCCACCCTCTTCCTGGCAATGATCACTTCTCATCACAAGTACAAGGAAGCACTTTGAAAACAGCGGTTCAGGCAAAACTGGGACAGAACACTAATTTGGAGTATTTTATCTTTATTAGGATGCTAATGGTACTTTGGACCACTCCTAATGGTATAGGGATGTTTGGGTAGCCTGGAGGAGCTACTGGTGTCACACACTAGCGAAAAAGCCATGTGAAAAGTTATGTGTCAGTCATCTGTAGGGTATATGTACTTGTATAGGCTGTGACATTACACTGGGCAGCTGTCACTTGTTCGCTGCCCTGATAGATGCAGCAAAGCCACCACACAGGCCTTGCACAAGGGCTGTACTTGGCTTTTCTGCTGCACATCACTGAGTGAACTACAGAGGCTGATTTTGCCAACAGAATCATAGAATCATAGAAAAGGTTAGGTTGGAAAAGACCTCAAAAATCATCAAGTCCAACCGCAATCTAACTCTATACCACTCTAACAACTCACCATGTCCCCGAGCACCACATCCAAACTGTTTTTAAACACATCCAGGGATGATGACTCAACCACCTCCCTGGAGAGCCTATTCCTGTGCTTAACAACCCTTTCTGTAAAAACTTCCCTGATATCCAACCTAAACTTATCCTGATGCAATCTGAGGCCATTTCCCCTCATCCTGTCACCTGTCACCAGTGAGAAGAGACCAACCCTGCTCTCGCTGCAATCATCTTTGAAGATCACAATTTGAAGAGAGCAATAAGGTCTCCTCTCCCCTCATCCTCCTTTTCCCCGGACTAAACAGCCTCAGTTCCTTTAGTTGCTCCTTGCAAGACACATTCTCCAAACCCTTCACAAGCCTTGCTGCCATTCTTTGGATGTTCACTACAGTACTCAGACGGCAACTCTCAAAAACTTGCTATCTGATTTTTCTTTCCCCCTCATCAACAGAGGCATTAAAATGAGATTAATTTCCGTATCTCATTTTTGCATCCGGTTTTACTCCCCTCTGGACCAATTCAGTTAAACCCAGGCTCCATGAGTGTGGAGCTGGGACGGTGAGCGACCCTGCGGGGCGGCAGCACCCTCAGACTCACGCCTCCTGCCAGGTCCTGCGGCAGGAAGGGAAAGTGAAAGGATCTGGGACTTTGCCGCGCCTCTACCCCGCGGCCACGCTGGCTTTAAGCCGCCCCGGGACAGACTCTCCCCTCTCCCCTTCTCCCCCCGCCGCGTGCCTGAGGTGAAGGCGGCCGCCTCGAGCTTCACCTCCTCCAGGGGGCTGGAAGCTCCGTGCCCCGAACCGGCCTCGCTCCTCCTCCGGCCGCCAGCAGGTGAGGCCGGCCCCGGGGCGGTGCTGCTGCTGCCGCCACCGCCCGCTCGCTTCGTCCCGGCCTGTGGAAGCACCTGTGGTGCCTGCTGGTCCCACCGCCGCCGCCAGGTACGTGAGGCCGGCACGGCCGTCCGGGTTTCGCCGGAGGCACGGGGAGAGAGGCGGCCAGCAGCGGCCCCGCCTGGCTCCTGTCCTCGGGAGTGTGCGCGGGTTTTCCCCGGGAAGGGCAAAAGCAGCTGAGAGACTGCGGGAGGGCAGAGGGCTGTTCGCGTAGAGCTGCAGGGGTCCGCAGAGAGCTCTGTGGAGCTGCGTGTGAGTATGCGCGCGTTCAGCCAAGCCCTGGGTGGGCTTCTCTTCCCAAGGACCTGAAGTGAGTGCGCTGTTCTTCGGTGGAAGGTGGATGGGCGGCTAGTTGGTTTGGGGCTTCCCTCCAGCCTTCTTCCTCGTGTGTGTGTGTGTGTGTGTGAGAGCTGTGCCCCGCAGAGACACGCAGAGGGGATGTTTGTGGTGAGAGCTTTGACTTGGAAAGCACTGACTTTGAGCCAGCCTGAAGTGGAGGTGTGAGCACATCCCTTCCAGGGCTCTTTCGTTTTTACAGCTCTCACAATGATAGGATCCAAAGGTCGCAATGAGGGAAGGGGTTATGCCTTAACCTACAGTAGGGTTATACCCTGACCAGTGTTATATGTGGCTGTTGGCTCGTCGGTGCCAGTGCTGAGCCCTGTGGCTGTTTACACAGGGATATGACTGAGTTCAGGAGGATTCCGTATGTCCAGAACGTGTTGTCTGATGGTTGGTGGGTGAGTTTGTGCTCTTGTGGATGTGCCTGCTGATTCTGCGGGAGGACCAAACGTTCTGCATGTGAGACCTGTTTCGAGCCTGAAGCTCACGTTGCTGTCAAACATCACTAGGAAGGGGGAAGGTGCTGGAAAGATTGCAGCGTCAGATGGTTGTCTAGATACCACTTGAACTGTGGGTGTAGAAACCTCCAACACTGTAACTAGAAGCCATAAAATCTCATGCTGAATGTCTCCTGCTATATACTGACATACTGTATTTTTAAGGTTTTCTTTCCTCCTCTGCTACCAGCCTGTTGAAAAAGTGACTATTCTTCATTGCTGTCGTAATATGTGTATGATTAGCTTGATTTTTCAGTGTTGCAGCATATTTTTTATGCAACCATAAAGGCTGCCGCCTTGAGTAAACAAAAAACATGATATGCCATTAAGATCAGTATCATTGTGCATGTGCACAAGGGGCTGAACTCCTCTTGTGAGTTCTTCCATTCTGACCTGTCCAGCTGTCCCAGTTGGTGGTCCTGCCGCTTTATTTCCCAGCGGGATTTGCAGGTTGGAGCTGGGCAGGGTTTAGCAGAGGGTGACCAAAGCTCACAGGAGCTGCAGTGGCCCAGAGTGCAGTTTGGAGCCAGTCCAGCCGGGGAGCTGCTGCCAGCATTCCTGCAATTCCTCCCCTACAGCCGCCCTTGGGAATGCATCCTGGTAGAAGTCATCCACTGAGAGGCCGAAATTCAGCAGGGACAAAAGAGGCTAAGCCTCTCTTCGTGTGCCTGATCTGTAACTAAACAGCTTGCCCCAAATCTGAGGGAAAAGCCCATTTCCAGATGTCTTTCCCCTTCCCACAGATTTCGGATGACACTACCAATGTATTGGGGCTCACAGCAAAGAGTCTCCTGTCCTTTATGCTGTGTTGTGATGTTGTAGCCTTGCTGAGATTTTTACATTTTTCTCTTTTTGACACAGATGAGCTCTTAGTCTGTTATTCAGTCCCTGTGCTGAGTGATCACTGACCTGCTTTGGTCTGTTTTTTTCCATGCTGCAAGTCCAACCAATGCGGCTGGGTACAGGAGTGAAAGCTCTTTCCTGAATGGCACTCAGGGACAGAGGATGTAAGGAACCTCCCTTCTGCCCCAAAACCTCTTCTGAGGAGAGGTGAGCTGTGCTTCTGTAAGGCATTTTGGGATCAAAGTGTGATTTTTGTCACAGACTTGTTACTAATCTTTGGCACATTTTCTAAAAGAACATGCCATTTCATCTCAAATTTAGCAGTTTGCTGAAGAGGACTTTTAATAGAACTAAAACAGATAAAGATTCTGTAACAAAATAAGTTCCTTTTAAAAGTTGCTTTAACACAAATAAGTTGCTTGTTCCAGTGGCTTCAGATAAAAATAATCAGTGGAACTGACTTTAAAATGTGAAATGAAAGCGACTTCCCTTTTTCATTGTTAGAGCAGGAATTCAAAAAGTAAATAGCCATAGTTGATCTAAACTGTGTTTTTAAGATCTTCTGATTTGAATAAATGTTTAACAATAGTACAGCTGGGAAGATGTGTAAGCAGTACTTTTGTACTCCTCTTACTAATTCTTAAGCATTTCTTTAAGTGTACGGATTGAAGTCACTGTTTCACAGAGCTGAGTAAGTATTCTGTATGCTTACATGGGTTTTAAATGTAACAGGGTTGTTTGTTTGTTTGTTTTTCCTTCAGATAAACTGTTCAAAGTCAAAACTGACCTTGGTAAAAAGTGTTTGTGTGTAGTATAGCTGTAGGCATTTATGCTGTCCTGATTGGTCTGGCTGGAGTTTGAAATTCAGCTATAATTGAACACTTGTCTTTGATAGACATTATTGTAATTAAAACTCCAATTTTATTTAATAATTTTTTTTTTCTTAAAATTACAGATGTGTTACATTTTATGGGACTTATAGGTTGGATATCAGGAAGGACTTCTTTACAGAAAGGGCTGTTAAGCAGTGGAATAGGCTCCCCGGGTGATGGTTGAGTCACCATCCCTGGATGTTTAAAAACCATTTGGATGTGGTGCTCAGGGACATGATTTAGTGGAGGGTTGTTAGAGTTAGGGTAGTAGGGTTAGGTTGTGGTTGGACTTGATGATCTTTGAGGTCTTTTCCAACCTGAGCAATTCTATGATTCTGTTATAACTCAAAGATAGGATAAAGATTGTCTCCTCCAGACTGTGCAAGTGATAGACCAAAATGTTAGTGTGACTACAGGTGCACCTCTGAGAGGTGGAAGTGAGGGGATTCAGGCAGCTTAATGTTCACTGTGTCCACAGTTGAGATTTCAGATTTACAATCGTAGAATCATAGAATGCTTTGGGTTAGAAGGGACCTGTAAGATTATCTAGTTCTAACCACCTGCTATAGGCAGGGGCACCTCCCTCTAGATCAGGTTGCTCCAAGCCCCATCCAGCCTGGCCTTGAATGCTTACAGGAAGGGAACATTCACAACCTCACTGGACAACACATTGCTGTTGCTGCTCACTACCCTCACAGTAAAGAATTTCTTCTTGATATCTAGTCTAAATCTACCCTCTTCCAGTTTAAAACCATTTCCCCTTGTCCTATTTCTACCTACCCTTATAAAAGGCCCCTCCCCATCTTTCCTATAGGGCCCCTCAGGTACTGGAAGGCTGCTATGATGTCTTGCAGACTTCTCCAGGTCCCAGAGAAGAGCCCCAACTGTCTCAGCCTGTCTTCGTATGGAATGAGTTCGAGCCCCCTGATCATCTTAGAGACACTCCCCTAGACTTGTTCCAACAGCTCCATGTCCTTCTTGCGTTGAGGGCTGTGGAACTGGATGCAGTACTCCAGGTGGGGTCTCATGAGAGCAGAGTAGAGGGGCAGAGACACCTCCCTCAACCTGCTGGTCACACTTCTCTTGATACAGCCCAGGATATGGTTGGCTTTCTGGACTGCAAGCACACACTGCCAGCTCTTATTGAATCTTTCATCATTTCTTGCCAACTTCTGCACCAGCATAACCCTTTTCAAGGCAGACAATGCAGCCATTATAGCAGGACACACCTTTGACAAGCTTGTGAGCCAGACGTGTCACACAGGTTGGAATTCCCTTTGCTTTTGAAGGAAAAAATAAATGATGTTTGTATCTGGCGGCTTTCCTGCACGTGCCCTGATTTCATTAGTGCAGCTGAACTTCAGAAGTAGATATGTTCATGCCCAGGAATGTGAAAAAGTGCAGTTAGGATTTATAATTAAAAAGAAAAAAAACTATGATTTTTCACAGGGAAAAAAAAAAAAAAAAAGGTTGTCTGGGCAATATCAACATTTTAATGAAGAAAAAAAAAACCTGCAAAAAATTAATTTGGAAAATTTGGGTCTTACTCTTTTATTATTATTATTATTATTTTGTAAGGAAAAAAAAAGAATAACTTTAGAATATGTGAGTGAAAGTAATAACTATGGAAATGTGGGAGTTGGGGAGTCAGCAGGCTAACCAAAAGGCAATAGAAAAGCAGAAAAATAGTAAAATTATTGCCAAAAGGCCTTCATTTTAGAATCATTGCTGGAAATTACTGTAATAAGGCACATATTCTATTGAATATGTACACTACTCAAGCCTGACAGTTTAAAAACTGACAACCACCTTTTTAAAGAGAAAACTATAAAAAACATGCTTTTGATTCATCAAATGAGAGGCTGGCAGTTAGTATTGCCAGTATGCCCTGACCCAAACTAATATAAGCCCTTCTGCTATAATAAGGCACGTTTAAAAGAGACCCAAATATAATAACTGACTTGCAAAAGCTGACGGAAGAAACAAGAATGATTCAAGGAAGAAAAGTATTTCTTCTCAGCTTCTACTGGAAGTCTTACCTTGTTCATGCACAGCGAACCTTTCATTCTTTGTTACGGAATGCACTTCATGCGATATTGATGCAACCCATATTTTTTGAGATTTTCTTCTCCCTCTCCTGCAATCTGTCTTCTGGAGGCATAATCTTTGATGTACGATGACAATAATTTTCACAGCATATGCAGTCAGTGACTGCAGATGGGGAGTAAGTAGCATGAGCAGATGATCATGTGAGAAATAGCAATCCTCTAATCCTGTAAATGTGGAATATGGTGGAATATGATGTCAAACCAGATATTCATAAGAAATTTGGGATCAAATGAGTGCTGCCATTTACTATACCAGAGATTGCTGGTGCCTCTGAGAATCTGTGTGTCAGGCTCTGGGAATTAGTGGCCTGCTCTGAATTCTGTCTTCTTGCACTAGTTTTGTGTTTTCATTAGATTAGTGACTACACTCATTTTTCTTTGATTCTCAAGCCAATTCTTTATGTCAGGCTACTCTTTGTATTTTTAGTCTTTTGAAGAAAAAGTCATCTCTCCCCCTCTCTCCCTTTTGGAAACCCTAAATATACAGTCATTCCTTTGAGAACTTTTTTCATCTATTCCAAAACTGGAGATTGTATTTGTTTTCGTCATTCAAAGAAAATGGCAGACCACAGAATCACAGAATGGCTTGGGTTGGAAGAGATCTTAAAGACCATCATTCTCTTGGCCTGTACACATATCTGGGATTGCTGTGACCCAAGTGTAGGCTTGGCCTCGTTGAACCTCACTAGACTTTCAAGCTTGTCCAGGTGCCTTTGGATAGCATTCATGTAGCCTTCTCAGTAATTCTTCCTGAACTCAAATCATATTCACATGCTTCTTTTTAAGTCTGGAAGATTTCAGCCTGCAAATAACGTTGTGAAGAACTGAAAACAGGGTCACTAACTTGGAAGACTGAGGTAGCCTTTGTGTTAGTGACTAGACTTATGATATCAGTCCTGTCTGTACCAAATAAAATCCACAGCAGTGTAACTTCATTGCCCTACAGTGATGTCTGCCTGAAGGGCTGTTTCTTTGGTTCATCCATTCTAAAGATACCTAACTTTTTTTTTAATGTCAGTATATTCTGGAGATATTTCTTTTAACAGTAAATTCTTAGCCTGACATTTTATGTGTGTTGTGCAGCACTTGTATTATGCTAGGCTTTTCAAACTTTGAAATCAAGCCTGCTGGAGGCTTTGGGCTTCGTCTTTTCCCTGGCTGCCACAACCATTGAGGATTATGTTGCCTTTGGCACAGTGTTGCAGGATCATGCTCATGAGGGCCGGAGCTTCAAGAGAAATATTCACCAGGAATTCCTTATGGGGAATAATTGGTGTCTGTTTTCACCACAACTTTCTAAAACATGATGATCTTGAAGGTCTTTTCCAACCTAAATGATTCTATGATTCTCAGGCATTTATAGTGCCACTTAGCTGGCTACCACAGTGCTCGTGCAGATAAGCAGGTGAAACTTGGGGTAGATTCAAACAAGGGATGGCCAGGAAAATGGCACAAGGTCATTATCAACTCCCACCCTCCTCCCCCTCCTTATTGACAGAAGTCTGTAGTGTCACTGGAGGCTCCAATTCTGGAAGCTGCCCCAAACTTGAGAAGCCACTTAGTAGAGTCTGAGGTTGGAATTCCAAATTTTGACATGTGCTCTTCAAAGCAGGCTTTGAGCAATGTTTTTCCAACACAGGCTGAGCACTGCAGATTTAGAGAATACTGAAGATCCCACCTTCTCTTTTATTTCTGGCTTTGATATATGGTAATCTGGACACCATTGTAGCTTTAGATTTACAACTCAGTTTAATATCGCTATGTACCTTTGCATGGATATCATGCTTATTATTGCCTATTGGATGAAATATGAAGAAAAAAAACCTTTTTTTTCCTGAAAACTATTTTATTGGTTTACTGGATTTTTACCTTGTATTTAGAAACTGAGAAATGACAGTTTCAGCCTTTGCTGACACTGAGTGCCACAGAGAAAGAAAGGCGACTCACAACAGAATGTGGACAACTCTTGAATACTTCAGAAGAGAATTTTATAGTAAGAGCTGATGCTCTGCTTGGGACAAAAAAAAAATTACCTGAATGTGTGATCCTATGCCAGATCAGCTTGAGGTCAGATATGGTGCTGACTGATTTCCCTGGGGATGGAACCTCATTGTGTGTATGCAGGAATGTCACTAAACGGGTGGGTGAGCTTTTAGGTTAAACTTGTAAGCCAGAAGAAAAAAAAAAAAAAAAAAAAAAAAAAAAAAAAAAAAAAAAAAAAAAGGCA